TGCGCCCGGTTCGGTTCCGTTTGCGGTTATTTGCGGTCGTTCCGGTGCTTTTTTGGGACCGCAGCGTTGCGTTCGGTCGGTCGGTGACGCTCGGGCCCATGGCGGGGCGGTTGGACGGAACGAACGCGGGGCGGCAGCGCGCGGTGGGTCGGTGGGGGCAGGGCGAACAGCAGAGAGGGAGGCGGGCAGCGCCGCAACGCCGGGCGTCGCCACGAGAGGGCGCCGAACAGCGCTACGCCACGGCGCGCTAATGTCACGTGGTAGCCGAACAGCGGCGGAAGCCCTTAACCCCTTCCTGCCCGATCCGAATTCGGTTCCTTCGGGAACAACTGTCAGGTCACCTCCGGACGGCTCTGTGCCCGCGGGGCCTTTATGGGAGGTCAGCGCAGCGTGGGCCGCTTCGGGGGGACCGGGGGCCGCTAGGGGTCATTCGGGGCCGTTTTGTGCCGTCTGAGGGCCGTGCTGGGGCCGCTCGCGGTCACCTCGGCCTCCCTTGGGGCTCTTCGGCCAAGTGGGGCCGCCTCAGCTCATTTGGGGCTGCTTTGGGACCGGGCGCGTCCACCTCGGGCAGCTGTGGGGCCGTTCGGGCCGCTCCTGGGCTTTGGGGTCAATTGTGGGGCCTTTGGGGTCCGTTCCGAGCCGTTTTGGGGCCGTTCTGCTGCCTTTGGGCCGTTTCTGCCCGCTTGGGCCCACGCCACGTCTGTTCGGGTCGCTCTAAGCCTCTTTTGGTCAATCTGGGGACGGTCTGCGGCTGTTTCTGCCTCTTTTGAGTGGATTTGGTGCCATTTCTGGGCTTTTTAGGCACCTTGCCCCCGTTTCTGGGCCAAGTGCAGCCGTTTGGGTCCATTTAGGGCTCATCCGGTGCAGTTTGGGTCCGTTTGGACCGTTTGGCCTTGGACGCAGACAAGGCACTGTTTGCTTCCAACCCGTTGTGATACCTAAAGCCCCGTCCTGTGCCTCCTCTCCCCCTCCCAGCTCCCACAGCACAGCTCTGGGCTCCACCACCCCACGCTTCCCCACGATGGCAGCAGGAGAACAACGCCCAAATTGCCTCTCACAGCTCGAAGCGCAGCCGTCCTGCCCAGGAGATGAAAAGCAACGGGGTAAGAGAACGGAATCTGCGATCCTTGCTGGAACGCAGCAGGAAAGGCTGAACGGGGAACAGAGCCCGAGCCCATCTGCTCTCACAGAGTCACAGCACGGTTTGGGGTGAAGGGACCTCAAGGCTCACGAAGCTCCAACCCCCCCACCAATGCAGGGCCCCCAACCTCCACGTTTAATGCTAAACCAGGCTGCCCAGGGCCCCATCCAACCTGGCCTCCAACACCTCCAGGGATGGACGGGGCATCACAGCCTCTCTGGGCAGCTGTTCCAGCACCTCACCACTCCCATAGCAAAGAACTTCCCCTGACATCCAACCTCCAGCTGCCCTCCCTCAGCTTCCAGCCGTTTCCCCTCGTCCTGCTGCCATCTCCCCTTTCCCATTGACTCCCCTCCTGTCTGCAGGCTCCCTTCAGCTCCTGCAGCTGCACTCAGCTCACCCCCAGCTTCTCTGCTCTGTGCTGCAGAGCCCAACTCCCTCAGCCTCTTTGCAGGGCGGTGCTGCAGCCCCCTGCTCATCTTTGTGGCTGCTCTGCACCCTCTCCAACAGCTCGCTGTCTTTCTTGCGCTGGAGGCCCCACACCTGGACGCAGTGCTGCAGATGGGGCCTCACGAGGGCAGAGCAGAGAGGGACTGCTCTGTTCCCTGTCCCTGCTGCCAACCCACTCTGGTCTCTCTGCCCCACCAGGCTGCAAATGCAAGCTGGGCAGAAGGGAAACACCAAAGCCATGAGATGCCCCCAATTCACCCCACTCCAAAGCCATGAGATGCCCCCAATTCACCCCACTCCAAAGCCATGAGGAGATGCCTTGGGAAGGCAGTGGGCTGAGCAGGCACAGCATCACGTCCCCATCTAAGATTGCTTGGCTTGGAAAAGACCTCAAAGATCACCGAGTGCAGCCACAACCCAACCATCCTCCCCCACCTCCAAGGGCCCTCTGCTCAATCACGGCCCTGAGCACCACATCAGAGCCTTTTAACCACCTCCAGGGCTGCTGGCTCAGCCACCTCCCCGCAGCCCATCGCACCGCTCAGCAGCCCTTTCTGCACACAAGCGTTTCCTCAGATCCAACCTCAACCTCCCCTGGCACAACTCGAGGCCATTTCCCCTCGTCCCATCACCAGCGAGACCAACGTCACTGCAGTCCCCTCCCCGGTATTGCAAGAGAGCCGTCAGCTCTCCCCTCAGCCCCCATTTCCCCAGACCCAACAGCCCCCACCCCAACCCTCGCTGCCCTTCCCTGCCCCGCTGCAGCCCCTCCACGTCCCTTCTGCACCGAGGTGCCCAACGCTGAACCCAGCGCTCGAGGTGAGGCCTCCCCAGAGCTGAGCACAGGGCAGGACGACTTCCCTGCTCCTGCCGCCACTCCTGATCCCAGGCAGGACGCCGTCGGCTTCTTGGGCAGCTGCGCACACCGCTGGCTCACGCTCAGCTGCTGCTCACCAGCACACCCAGCTCCCTTTCCATCAGGCAGCTTTCAGCCATTCCTCCCCAAGCCTGTAGGGGCCGCGGGGCCCAAAACGCAGCAGCCCCCACTCGGCCCTATGGAAGCTCACAGAGTTTTGCTCAGCCCATCGACGCGGTCCACGCGGGTCCCTCTGCGGTGCCCCCATCCTGCACTCGGCTCCAGGGGAGGCTCTGCCTACACCGCTGCCAACACAGCGCTGCAGCCCCGTGGGAACTGAGATTTGGGCTTGGGAAAAGTGCCCCAAGGGCTCCGAGCACACCTGGGTTTGTTCACAGGACTTCGTGCATCGGTACCAGGGCCGGAAACACCACTGGATTGGGCTGCACAGGGCAGGAGGGGACGAGCGCTGGATGTGGGCTGATGGCAGAACCTTCACCAACCGGTCAGTGTGTGCGTCCGTCTGTCCGGCTGGGATCTCTTATGGGTCTGGCTGGGATGGGTTTGGGATTGGGTTTCCCATTCTGCTCCCTCCTGTGCTATGGAGATGAGCAGGGGCTGCAGCACCGCCCTGCAAAGAGGCTGAGGGAGCTGGGCTGTTCAGCATGGAGCAGAGAAGCTGGGGGTGAGCGCAGTGCAGCTGCAGGAGCTGAAGGGAGCCTGCAGACAGGAGGGGAGTCAATGGGAAAGGGG